CCCCAAAACCCCAAAACCCCAAAACCCCAAAACCCCAAAACCCCGATTCAAGGAGATATGATATAATTAATAAGGATGACTTCCAGTAATAACTTTTGTATGTTCCAATCCATTAATTCTGAGCAAATTTGTCATAAATTTGAGAAAGATTCCTTTGCTAACACTTTCTTTCAGTTTACTCTCCCCTTCTGATATCATTATGTTGGCATAATTAACTCCAAACTTTGTTTCAGATTCTTTTAATAGGTTTGGAATGTCCTTTTCTATTGTTTTTTGATACTCTTCTTGCATTTCTTCATCTAATCCTCAATCTTGAAAGTGAAACTTTTGCAAACTTTCCTTGAGATCAGGAGAAGTGCCTAACCCTTCAATCAAGTTCTCCAGCTTATTAATATCGATCGAGTAATTGCATTCTCTTGTGAAAGAATTACATATGAACTCTAAAGCTCTGATCTTAGAGCCCTTGAGAGCTAACGAAAGATCTGGAACTCTTGGAACTAAGAGAGAGCAATGATCGAACTCTACAGTTTCAACATGTCTGAAAGCTGCAAGAAATCTTTTGAGATGTTTTTCATTGAACTGGAATCCACAAAAACTTATTTCCTTTTTAACTGAAAAGCTAAATCTCAAGATCTGAGGCAAAATATTGTTGGGAGGAAGGCAATCATCAAGTGGATAATATAATCATCAGTTTTGCACTCTTCTTGGAAAAGTTTGTGATAAGAAAACTCCAAGATCTTTTAATCTCTCTGATTCAATTGAAATTTGATTCTTATCAGGAATTCTGAGAAATTTGTTTCTATACCATGCATAATAACCATTTCTATAGCATTCAAACTTGCGAGATGCTGGCAAGTATATATTATTACTCCCATTTCCTTTATCATTTGAGTACACTTCGTTCTGGAAGTCTATATACTTCTGCTGTACATCTACATTCAAAATTGAGTGAGGTCTGACATAAAGAAGCTTGTTGGTGAATGTAATAAGAAGACTATTATTTTTAATTTATAAGATGCTTTGTTTCATAGGCCTACTCATCCTACATGGAAAGTTATGTGCAAACTAATGTCTTGAGCTCTAGTAGCAATCGAAGAAGTAAATTTACTATTTAAATATTTTGCTTTCTTGAAGCCCCAGATGAACAAGCGAGCAGTCTGGCTGATCCGAGTAGGCTTAGATATAAGGTTCCTTAAATTTTGTATTCGAGTAATTGTTAAAAGTTGGGATTAAGCATTTAGTGGCTATTCTTAACAAAGATAAAATAAGGAATTAAACTAAAAGATTTAAAGTAGATTCTGAGTGATCGATATCAAAGCTATGTTGTGATAGAATCCATTCAAACCATTGCCAAAGAATTGGCCAAGGCCTTCTTCATAAAGAGTTCAGACTATCTGCTAATATAAGCGGGTGGGCAGAAAGATTGGAAGAATAAAATAGATATGCTAATATCACAAAACTTGGATCTTTGCTTTAGTAGCCAACTGAAATATGCTTGGTAAAGTTGGTGAAGCTCAGACTCGAACTGAACTTACAAACTTACTAAGTTCTATCATGATGTACTCAGATCTGCCCCAAATGGTGGAATAGTACATGTCAGCTTGATTGGATCGACATTTACTTGAAGAGGGAGAACTTTCATATCCCTTCGTAACAGGATTGACTGAATCCTCCTCCTTGTGTTCTTCTTGATCAATAGTGTCAAAGCTATTCTTGGAGATAGTTTCTCTAAAATGTGCTATATCTGCATCCACATCTACTCCAAATGGGTGGACTACAGCTGATTTTGAAGAGCTTACCTCTACTAGGTTTGCGATCATCTTTTTCACTAATTGTGCATGATGCCTCACTCTTATCCTGGCTTGGAGATTTACCTAAATGAGTGTTCTGATTATTGTCAACAACTAAATTTTATGACTGAAATCCTTAAAAGAGCAGATTCCTAAATTTACTATAATAGCTTATGCCAATCACGATATTCAGAAGTACATTGTCTAAGTATCTAAATTCTGATTAAGAGGAGTCTCCTCACGACTAGAAGGCATCTATGAACTTCTGGATGATCAATGCTCTCAAACAAATCAGTAATGTTGTAGTTAAGAAAATTGCATCAAACTTACCTTTTCTTGTTTGCTCTGCCCATGGATTTATGTTCCAAGGTCCATGTGTTTGCTTTCAAGACGTTTTAGATGAAAGATTGATAGTTTTAGAGCTGTCTATCGAACTTGGCATATCCAAAGAATCTTTCTTGTCTTCTTTATTTAGAGCCATTTGCATATTTACTTCAACATCAGACTTTTCTGATCTTGTATTGTGGGAATTGGGAAGTTTATCAAAATTCCGCGGAATTTCTTTAACTGGTAAACTCTCATTTGATTGATGTTCAATAATACCTGAACTTCTCTGTGCACGAGGATCCTCTCTCTCAAAGACTATAAACATCAGACATCAGTTCACCAGATTGGATCAATGCTTACCTGAATGATCAGACTGAACTTGCATCTGATTCGCCTTCTGCTTCATTTTTTATAAAATTATTAATATTAGATTCTTACTTCCGTGAATATCCCGGGGTTTTGGGGTTTTGGGGTTTTGGGGTTTTGGG